ACAGTCAAGGAGCTGGTATAGAAACTACAGTCAAGGAGCTGGTATAGAAACTAGAACCAAGAAACTGGTATAGAAATTTAAGTAAATTAACTGGCATAGAAACTGCAGTCAAGAAACTGGTATAAAAACTACAATCAAACAACTGGTATAGAAGCTACAGCCAGGGAACTGGTATAGAAACTAAAGTCAATGAAGTGTTAGCGGAACTACAACCTAGATCTTGTCAAGAAATTAGAACCAATGACCTGGTATAGAAACTACAACCAAGGAACTGGTATAGAAACTTAAGAAAATTAACTGGCATAGAAACTACTGTAAATGAGTTGGTATAGAAAATACAGCCAACGAACTCGTAAAGAATCTTCATGCATTTAAATTCGTTTTCTGATGTTATGAAACACTGTGCGAAGTAACAAGCAAATAAATATATTTCTGTATGATGTATATTTATATATAAAAAGAAATACATCCTAGAATGTATAGGAATAGCGTTAAATTTAACTGTCATTTCAGCTGTATTTAACCTCTTGAAATCGGTCGCAGGTTAACTTACTTTAAAAAAACCAAAAAAAAACCCACAATGAACTTATCCGCTGTGTCCACCGCGGAAAATCGAATCTCGGATTTTAGCGTTGTAAGTAACGTAGCCTTACCGCTGTCACACTGGGGGACCGTAGATTAACATCCGTTGGTTTAGTGTCTCGAATAACTAAGGCTATCTTCCCAAAGCGTTACATATACACTATACAACAGTCATTGGACCAACGTATCTTCTCCAATTAGAATAACTACATACCTAATATGTCATAAAAAATAGTTATCTTTTTTTAGAGCTTTTTTTTGTCGATTTTTTTCTCATCGGCTTATGCGCAAGGCTTTACAAAAAAAAAAGTAAAAAACGAGGGGATTTTCTCTATTAATGCTAAACACGTAGGACCCCTTATGCTAAAAACTCCTAAAATCGACTCAAGGTGTAGAAAAGCCTGAATATTTTATCTACTTGAGGATAACATCTTTGGCATCTTTTAGAACAAGTCAGTTCAGTAATTAGTGTTTGTAAAATGGATACGTTTTTATTTGATAGATGTCCCCTCCTGTACGTGGTTCAAACAAACTACTTGAACAAACCATGCTTCAGTACTAAATGAGAAGCCCTCATACGTCTTAATGCTCCTGTTCACTTATATTTAACGACTCCTCAAATACAAACTCCTGGTGGAGCAGCGTTAAAATCCGGGGTTTAACTCCCCGCGGTGGATAGAGGCGCTAAAAACAAATAAAATCCTCAGATTCAAATTTTTGTCTTTTCAAGGAATCATCCCAGTTCTTCCACAACTGCCGATGTATTTCTCCCCTTTTATAGTTTATAATATAACTTATATTTTATTGGTTAAAAAAACTAGTCATACATAAAAAGGTCAGAGTAAAGAAATAAGATATATATACACAATATTTTACAACAATAAATCTTCTCTCTCTGTTCGTCTGTCTATCTATAAACATATCTTCACATCTACGTATTCAGAAACTGCTTCTCTATTAAATAATCTGTACCACCCTCACACATGGAGGTTTACACGGTTTTACTTTACAACTACGACATATCAATATGTATGTTTTATGTGTATTGTTAAAAGAGAACAGCTTTATGTAGTATACTGATAAGTGTTTATATTTTTAATACACTGTGTGAGATGTTGTCATGATACTAAGGAAGTAACACACGTTAAAGTAAATACGATGTATTCCCTTTGTGACTTGTAGTACAGTACAGAAACAACGTGTAACTAAGAATTTAACACCAAGTCTTCATCTCGTGACTTGTAGTACAGTACAGAACAGAAACAACATGAAACTAAGAATTTAACAGCAAGTCTTCACCCTGTGATTTGTAGTACAGTACAAAAACAACATGTTATTAATGTCTTAACACCAAGTCTTCACCTTGTGACTTGTAGTACAGTACAGAAACAGCATGTAACTAAGGGCTTAACACCAAGTCTTCACCTTGTAACTTGTAGTACAGTACAAAAACAACATGTAATTAATGTCTTAACACCAAGTCTTCACCTTGTGACTTGTAGTACAGTACAAAAACAGCATGTAACTAAGGGCTTAACACCAAGTCTTTACCTTGTGACTTGTAGTACAGTACAGAAACAACATGAAACTAAGGGCTTAACACCATATCTTCACCTTGTGATTTGTAGTACAGTACAGAAACAGCATGTAACTAAGGGCTTAACACCAAGTCTTCACCTTGTGATTTGCAGTACAGTACAAAAACAACATGTAACTAAGGGCTTAACACCAAGTCTTTACCTTGTGATTTGTAGTACAGTACAGAAACAGCATGTAACTAAGGGCTTAACACCAAGTCTTCACCTCGTGAATTGCAACATGAAACTGGGGATCTAACATTGCACCTTTGCTCTGTTAATCAGAATAAGAAGGTCTATATTATAAGTGGTGTAGGTTATTAGAATATTAGAACTACAAGGAAACCAACGTTTGGTATTTAAGTATTTTTATTTTTACCGCTAGGGCACTGTGATACGGTTTCTAAATATATTAACAAAAATTAAACATAAATTCATTACTTGCTCAAAAAACTGTCTCTAATTCAACTAATTAATCTTACCTGCCGATCAGAGAGAAAAACTAAAAATCCCCCTGGTAATGAGTATATATAGCTAATTAACTATGTTAATGCTCTTTCTACGGGCTCAATGATCTGTTCTTTCAGTGCAAACAGCGACTTGGAAAAGTTTTAAATTTGTATTTGGATACACATGATTAAATTGTCCTTTGAGGTGATCACAACTTTATCATTATCATGATGAAAAATCAGAGTTATACAGCTTCTTCTTTCGTGCGATCATCTTGCCTGTGGACGAGTCATGACGATGACTCTACAATGTAAACATGGCCAGTCTTTGAAAATAAAGAGCCCATCACATCAAGAAGCAATTAGATGTTGGCCTAATGTAGCAGGAAAAGAAAACATAGAGGACAGAAATGATTAAAGTCAGATATATGGTAATT